TTATGGTAGGCTTACATGCGCACCATACAGCAAAGTTTCAGACAGATTCACCGACAAGAACGAAAATTACGACGATTTCCAGAGTGTCCCTATAATTATGTCCAGCACTGTATGTAACTTGAGAAGACACAGTACAAGATATTGCACAAAACTTGGTAAACTTATAGCTCGGTTCAAATTGAGGTTGGAGGGCTCAAATTTTGCAACCAGGCATGCTATTCTGCCAACTGCATACTACTCACAGTTTTTCGAAACCTCAAGTTCCACTCCGCACCCGATCTTAATATCCCAGATCCAATCATTTTAGATTCCTGGATATTTACTTCTACTCGTGTTCTACGAAGCTGCTAGGTTGAAATTTTGTGGGCACTAATAATGTTAGGCTCGAAAATTACATAAAAGTTTCAGGCTGATTGGCTGAATCTTAGACCCGTTCTGTAAATCGCGCACAACTCGTATTTGGGGCATGTCGAGGGGTAAGAAGGGTAAGAAGCCAAGGATACCACTGGCTTTATCGGCAAATACCCCATCTATGTCCTTTTCCGTTTCCTCCAAATGGTGTTAGAGAGCACTATTTCAGCGCAAAAGTGTAGATCCGAGTTTTGCTACTTTCCAGTCCAAGATATTTGAGTCTGCACAAAATGCGCGGCGACCGACGGCTTATTCATCGATGTCTTCTCAGAAAAACCTTCAGTAGGGTAAACAAACTGTGAAAATGTCCACTATGAACGCATACATATCCAGGCAAAATAAAAGAAGAAAGGACACGGAGAAACCATGGAAATAATTCTAAACTTACGAGTTCGTCAAATAGCGCTTGATGTGCAATATGCATTTTGAATTATAAATGACTCTAGCATTCAAATAATTCAGAGTCAGCTACCATAGCTTAGCCTGCTGTTTAAGTTTCTAGCTTGTTAGCTGTAAATGGAATAATACTCTCTTCACTGTTCCTACTGTAAACCTACAGTAATAAGATGGAATCGGTAATTCGCTTTATACAGTAATTCTAAATTGAAGCCAGCTATACAAATTCTTGGTAAAATTTGGCGAAAGTAGAAAAGCTATCAGCGATCAGACAATGTGCACATTATTTAGGACACCCTGTATATTTGGTAATAGTAATAGGTGATGAACCTATTGAACCTATTGCACCAAATTAACCTCTACGAATGACTCACGGCGGTCCATTTTGTCCACTTCTATATAATAACATATCAAAATGAGGAGAAATTCGTGCACAGATTCGTATTTTTTCAAGCTAAAATGTGCAGTCTGTGTTCAATGTTCAAAAAAGACGCTGTCGTGAACATTAAGTAGCGGTTCGTCAAAAATAAAAATCAGCAATTTTGAGAAAGCGGCTATCACCGCATATGTGAGCCACTGCGAAGTTTTCTCAATGTTTTGTCTATATGAACTGTTCAAAAAGAGGAACTCGAACAAGGTGTGAAGCAGTGAGATAAATTGAAAGCATATTTTATTCCAAACAATGTTTCATTCTTCTCGAACCAAATGTCACCGAGTAATAATGAACCAAAGGCGATTGCCAAACTCTTTCCTGCTCAAGGGCTCTAAATTTTTACCGATACCCACATTGACGTTTTACATCAATGCTACGTTATTTCATCCTTTTTGTTAAACAAAATCATATATGTACCCCTTAAAGGAGTTAGGTAATGGTGTTTTTTTATGTTGAACATCTTTTTCCGAAAACTATCATAACTATCATAAAATAGATGGATCTCGGTCAACACGTCCTAATTACAGTGACAGTGCGCCAGGCCTGAGTCTTGCTGAATAAATTAGGTTGTCACGTAAGACTTGCACCAATAATCTGGATAATTCATAGTTTTTCCCAAACCCAGTAATTTTCACTTTGAATATTAGAAAGACAAAATCTTGCACTTTCAATATCTGAAGCAGAGTATCATTTTGAATACAAGCTGATGAACAAAAGCGCTCAAAAATTGTTCTCTCACTAAAGCCACCAAAATTTTCATCACAATTAATTTCTTAATTTCGTTTCGTAACATGCTTTTCTACCTAAGAAAAATTCATAATTCATACCAGTTTACTAACAACTATGATTTTTGGACTTTCTTATTAATTTTTTCCTTTTAAGGCAAAAGAATCTTCATCTCACATATGTTACGAGAAGACTTCCGAAAACAACACATCTATCCATCATTGCTTTTCCAAAAATTCTGCTGTTGGGGCTCGCTGAGAGGATACATTCGATCTGCGAACTACTGGAAATAAGTTGATTGTTGACCATGCCAAAACCATTAGGATTTTCGCTGACGTACTTCTAGTTTTCCATTGCTTATTGATGTCTGAGTCAAATCCAGAGAGCCGAGATCAAATCAGGAAATCTCTTTTTGAGAACACCAACAAAGGCTTGAAAAATCTTTCAATGTATTGCATTTAGTCAGTTACGTGAGTTTTGCTAGAAGTCCTTCTTTTATCTTGAATATCCGCTCATATTTGGCATGTATAGGTAGGAGGAAGAGATGACTCTTGGCATCATTTTCGTTTACTAACACGAATTACAGTATGCATAAAGGCAATATCCTTTAGAAGTACTTCAACCTCCACTTTTTTCTTCATTTCAAAAGTTCTCACACTTCCTTTTCACCTTTTTAGACTTTTCGTGAACTTTTAGGAGCAATGGTAGTAAGGCTCTGAAAGATTCACATATCTTTAAAATGATGAAAAAATTTTGGCGAATTCTCAAAGACTTTTTCCGTTGAGTATAACAAAACTTTTAGCGACCAAGTAATCACAACACGTATTCGATACCGGTGAAGCGAGTTTTGATGATCATTAGCTGTGCAAATTTCCTTTTGTCCAGTGGATTCGACGAAGCAACTCCCAAAGTTTAATACTGTGAACAGCTATCCTCCCCCATTTGTGGCCGGCATGTGGTGAGAATATTTTCCCCACTTGTTTGAGTAACTAATGGATTGCCATGAAATGAAATTTCGTTCGTTTAAAACGATTCGAAGAAGTGTTACAGATATACTTTTACATGCATGTACGATATCTTCGACAGAGCAAATCAAGGAGAATCAGATGGTTGACTTTGGTTCAGCAAAAATTGAATCTGTGATGACGAAATCCTGCAGGAAGATAGAACAATCAGATTTTTCCATTGAATCTTCGAAAAACCGTACTCAAAAAGACGATCTGAAGTTGAGTGTAAAATGCACTTCTGCTACCCTTACATCAGGTTTTCTAGCTATTTGCAGGGATGTAGGTAATCATACGTAGATAGATTGAAGCTGTCAGAACGATCCAAAAATGAGGTAAATGCAATTGCCTGAAATTCCCATATTTTTCCCTACAGATTTTCATAAACAGCAAGTTACAATCTTCACTGTGGTTTGCCATATATTTAAACTGGATGTATTAGGTTGATTCATAATTAATGCACGTTTTTGTCACCTCTTTTTCCAAGCCCTGGTTTTTCAAGGATACTGAATCTTTCCCAAAAATTTTGATGCTATCTGAAAGAGCGTTTCTTCTAGTTCCTTGTAAATCCTTTCCTTTTGTGGCAGTTTGTATGATACCGGATTCTACGCTTCGGAATATGAGAGATTAAAACTTGAAGTTTTAATCCATGAGAACAAAAGATGTTGATTTCAAAAAATATGCCTAATAATCGCGAAGCTTTCTGCTATAGAAATCTCTATAAAGCAGAATCTTGCAAAAGTTCTGAGATAAGGGATTCAGCCGCAAGCTTGGCCGTCATTGTGGTCTTTCGAAGTCGTGTAAAACTTTGAAACAAGAACCAATGGCTGTGATTTTGCTTTATGCACAAAGAATAGACATAGCATATTAAGTGATAGAAAAACGGTGAGATTTTACAGCTTTTCAGTGGCAAAAATTTTGAAAATTCTCAAAAAAGACAATTTTTCGCTCTTTTGAAACAACTAGAAAAAATGATCACTTTTAAACTTTTTGCAGTATCTCGTCATAGAAAAATACAGTAAAATCCGGTTTTTTTTGCCACTGCTCTCTTGGCAATTGGCTGCGCAATGAGCAAAGTTTGCGCTTTCCTCCTACCTTTAAAAGTAAGTTTTACTTTCTCAAAATAAAGGTTTTTAAAAATATTCTTGGCATTTTTCGGAATGTTAAACTTTCTCGTCATATTTATCTATGAACGAAAGTATGCGTTGTAAAGCCAAAGATTTGCTCTTTGCAACAGCCCTTATTGCTTTTTGAAAGGTGATGTGGGAAAAAAATTACGTCGCTTTGAAGATGAATTTTGAAAAACGTGCATTAATTATGAATCAACCTAATATAACCGAATTCGTGTGTGCACTCAATACAGCATGAAAAAAAACTTAGAAAGTCAACATAGTGATTTTAAAGGCTGGCTTGTATGGAAATGATAGCTTTTAAATAATAGGGATTCTCGAATAATGGATATGTGCCAGTAGAGGCAAAACTACATCCTCGCAAAAAAATTAGCTAGATATCGGCCATTTGAATTTTTGTAGAGCTTCTAAGTTGCACTTGAAAACGAATGTTGTAGAACTGATAGCTGCCGTCATCACACATAGTTCCTTTCAATGTAGACAGCAGCTAAATAATTCGGTTTCATTTCAAGATGCTCACGAGCAAGTTATTTCCGCTCAGTTTGCATTTATGTACAAATTTGTTAATCGTCTTCCAAACATCATTCAGACGTAGCACAGACTCGGTCGCATATTGTTTTAAATTGCATTTCGATACTTCACCCCAATCTTTCTTTTGTAAATGATACTTCAAATTGAGAGAATAGATGATTCAAATCTTATTGGAGCCGACATAAGGCTAATAGTGATTTGTAACTTGATCTTTAGTGACCTAAGGCGAAAGTAAGATCAAGCATTAGACAATATCATTTAAGGATTAGGCAATATTATGCAAGTTATTGTTACTTCACAGTTTCTCTATTTGGCATGCTACATGCCGTTTTTTGCTACAAGTAAATATGTATGATATTTGCTTATATTGTTCTTGATAGAGCAGCTTTATTTTAGCATGATGTATCTCAAAAAATGCATGAGTTTGAGGTTCACTTGTCCAATTCTCAGATGATGCTGCATCCTGGGGATATCTTCTGAAAAATAAACAGTTGTTTGTTTCACTCTTTTCGTTACCACGAAATGAAACTAATAGCAAAATCTTTTTTCAACAGTGATTTCACTCCAAAAAAACTTTTGACTCACTCCACAAATTTTGCCAGCAATGGGGGCAGTGAAGATTGGAGCAAGGACTTTCTCAAAGAGCTTCTCAGCGACCTTTGGCATCGCACCGCACTGAAGGAAACAGGTTTTCAACAGAAAATGAAGATTGCATAGTACGCTGTCTGCTTGTTGATAGCGTACTATGCAGAATAAACATAAGCAAATGACTTACGACATCAACCTGTCCAAGTAGCCAGGAAACCTTCGACAATAGCTCAGGAATCTTGATCTTGATACATAAATTTGTCAGACCTTTGCCAGTCGCTGAAATTATATTAATAATCTTTGTAGTTTAGTCATTTTTTTACGAACAAACATTTGGTCGGACTGTTAGATCCGATCAAATGATCGTAGCCAAAGCGACTGAAGATTTTGAGAAGAGTTAGATGGAAAGATTGTTTTAAACCGATTTTGTGCTTCTCCATTTCCAAAAAATAGAAATTTTTCTAAATTAAACTTTTATTGATAGGTAACAGGAATACTTGTTGTCTGGTCACCTCGAAAGTATTCATGATTTTTGAGAGTCATTACAAAAGCTAGTGCATGATCGCATTTTTAGACCGTTAGAAGAAAGTTTTCCTTGAAATTTGATAGAACAAAAATGAGCTGCAATCGCGAGATCTGCTCTAGACTAATGCTCAAAGAATATCAGTTGAGGGGCATTTGATGATTGCTTTGACATAAATACGGTAGTTAGAACTCTGTTCAATTTGTGGCAAAGATTCTCTTTTTCAAAAGTTTTCACTTCTCTGCTCCAATTTAGTGATGTCTACGAAAATGAAAATGGACTAACCAGCAATGATTTTCTTTGAAGTGCTACTCTTTCCTCCAACAACAGTGTAATGAATCAGTTTCATGCCAATACGGCAAGCTACGCATGTAGCGGCAGCAGTAATGGACAATCTCTGACCTCTGGTTTGTTTCGTTTGCGTGATTGGCATGGTAGGATCTCCTGAACATGAAGAGATTGGGGTTGCAACTTGTGCTATATCTGTCTTATACTCTTCGTAATTCGTTTATAGTTCAATAGACTCAGTGGCTAATGTAGTGTTTCTGCGCTGCCAACAACATTCGGGCGTAAGAAATGGCCACGAAGCGCGCAGTTGCACATCCGCTGTGTTGTCGTGGCCGCAGAAAACACTATGCCGTACGATTTCCTATTTACACATGTTCTTCTAACCAGCTCATGAAAACTTACGGAATCCACAGCTGTCAGCTGGGTCGATGAACATTGCCATCACATTCATTATTTCAGTCATCTATAAGTATTAATCGTCACGCTGATTTCTCATAAGCGCTAAAACTTTCACTCTACCGCATCATCTCCAACCATGTCGTGAACGGGTCCGAGCTAAAAAGTTTAACGAATGCTCAGAACAGAAAGATGAACGAAAGTTTCTCGCAAAAATAATACTTACAATATCCTCAGACAGGACGCTGAGGGCATTGCAAGCTTGGACTTGATTTGTGCAAAGCGAAGTGCAGTCCTGCGACTGAGACTGAGAACGAGATTTTTATACACAGTTCTATAGTAAAGGGTGAATTTCTTACATTTGACAGATATTTTGCAAATTCTGGGCTGATGTTTTGGATCTGAAATATATGTACATAGTTTGGTATGATACTCAGGAAACAAATCACTAGAAAAGCTCAAAACTTTTCTGATTATTACTAGAGTCAGACGTTACATGTGCCCACAAAGGTGTAGTGGTCGCCCTTTATTACTGAGAAAAGGGACAGAAATCAAAATGGCCATTCTAGAGAAGCTGCATGCAAATTTGGACGCAGCATAATGTGTTGTTCCACTCTGTCTGCCATTTCTGCTTCGTCTTTACGGAAGGTATGAGCGATTAATCGCAAGAACGCATATATGTGTTGCAAGAACATTTTCGGACACATTAATGTATTTTAGCTCAATTTAGATATGGACATTATACAACACCTTTCTGCACGTTTCGGCCCAGGTTTAACCAAATGTCTACTCGCATATCCTATCTTGCATTTTGGCCTGCACGATTTCTTTGCAACATGTTGGTTTATAGCTTGTCCAGGGGGGGGGGGCATTTAGCAGGTAAACAAGTAAATTTCCCTTGATGTGCATCTTGTTGAAAAAAGCGTTCTTCGATCGCTTAGTAAGCCAATGCGTAAACGGCACCTCTAGTTCACTCGTGAGTTCAAAACCAAACTTCAGCCCTTTTAACATGCTCGAAAACGCTTAGTGGCTAGTTCGGAAGGATTAATGTCTAAGCTAAAGTCTTTGCAGAATCATATGAGATGCACTTGAACCTAGACCTAAACTAAGCATTGAACTCGGGCAGTGCTCAGTTAAACTCAAGTGCATCTCATATGATCTCCTATTCCTAAATAAGAAGCCCCTGTAATCACATTATCGTAAATATCGCTTTCGAGACATCACCAGACATCAAATATCGCCTTCGAGACATCGTCAGATGTACCTCTTATGACATGTGGAGCAAAATGGCGAAAGAAATGAACTTGCCTCGTCCATGACCACTGGCATGGTCAACATCGCTTGCACAAGATTGCACCTGGTACAGTCGTTGAGAAGTCGTTCTCCATATTCAGCTAACTCTGTATTAGCCAATTCGGCTGACACACCTGAACAGTTGGGGCAAACTAGGCTTTAGCCAAGCTAGAAAGGCAAGATCATTACTACCAACAGACGGACCTGCCAAAAAGAGCGCTAACACTAGGCGAAGCATCATGTACTGAAATGTTTTTTGTCTCGAAATTCTGAGTATTTATCATGGTCGCATCTATTTTTTCTTTGTTTCTTTTTTATGATCAGGCGTGCATCCACGAAACGTGTGGCATTTGCTAGCTGCTGTTGATAAAGGGTTTAACTTCTTAAATTGGTTGTGCTTTGGTGCTTTGTTCCCAGAGTTCCGGTAAACAAAATGTTGCAACGCAGTACATTTCTATGGAGAATCAGTAGATATTACTGAGTTGAATAAGCGAGCTATGGAAAATAAGATTTGTCTGAATTACTTGGTCGCCTTTCCGCAACTTTGCTTGTTAGTAAAAGTACTAGTGCTTCATAACAACAATTTTCCAGCAATCTCATGTTCTAAGAAACTCTTGACTTTATAGAAGTTCAGTCTTGAGATAAAGCTGCTCTTGCAATCGGCACTTACATTTCATGATAAATTCTACAACGAATTTGGTGCGTAACACCAAATCATAATAACACATCTTTCCTCGCATTCGCTAGTTTCCCACGCAGTGTATAGGAAAATATTATGCTTTACTTCAGGAGTACAAGGTGCAGGTATGTTTCCTGAAATAGACAAGCTCAAACTGGCCACCCAATGCTAAACAAAATCATCTGTCCTCATCCCATTCCCTGCTCTCACTGTGTTTTCGTTAACAGAATGCTATGCTTACTTGCTCCTGTATTTGCAAAAAAAATCGAGAATTTGTTAGAATTACTGAGAATTCTCTTCTATGAGACAGATGTTACTTTCCAACCAGCATACCCATCCTGTACCACACCCGGCTCAGAGATTGCCAAAAAAATGCAAAATGGCAACGAGAAGTAGCCTATGAAACCAGCTCCGCCTCGAGGTAACGTCTCGAGTTGGTCTGGATTAGTTCGATAAAATGGAATATGTTACTCGGAACATACATACATCAGACATATACATCTGTGCACATACATATTCTTTCTGTTTCTAGAATTTTCTGCGAAGTTGATAAAAGTTATGTACTTGGATGTCCTTCAGATTCTGGGCATTGATGACATTGTGCGATTTTTATTCCATGTTGGGAGATTCATTCGCCTCTTTCTATTCAGTACTGGCATATTTTTCAAATTGCTACAGGCGAAGTTTTATTTAATTCTCAGGCTTTCGCTAGCATTTATTTAAGAGCCTAGCTTACATACCTACTTTGAAGTGTACATTTGCTTCGTTACGGTTGCTCGGCTTGTCCGATTCTATTTTGGCTTCAACCGGCACCTCAGTAATCCAGGTTCAAAAGTTGTGCTGCAAAAGTGTATCGTGCTTTGTGGATGGAGGGCCTGGCTGGTGCAAGCGACAGATGTCTACTGTTTTCTCTACTAAAACACCAATTATCCTGACGCGGTTCAAATTCGCGATTTTAAATCTTGATAAAAGCTTTGATTGCTTTGAATTCTGTTAACAACATCGTATTTTATTTACAGTTACCTAACTGTCAGAGAAACACAACGCACGCTGAAACAACAGAAAAATAAACATTTATACACGCATATTTGCAGAAACTCTGCAAGTATGCGTGTATAAATGTACTGTAAGTACTCTATACTTGCAGAAATTCTGCTTCATAGGTAAGATAGATTCAGTGCAGGATAGTGCACAAATCCAAGGTAACAACGGTCTGGGGCGGTTTTTATTAATCTCGCGCTCGCTGTTTGGGCGTTTTGCATTGTTAATACAGCCCTAACAGGCGAGCGTGTTTAACCCGTACTTTACATAGCATCGCCCAAACGGGCAGCACATCCCGATCAGTCGAGATGGGGCCTGCTGTGCCGGACATGGCCAAACTCATGGCCATGGCCAGAGCGGACCCTTGAGCCCAGGCACTGTCCCTGTGTGAGGTCCAGACAGTTTAGTGAAGGGGAACTCTGAATTACCGTAATTCAATCCAGCCTTCAATTTAATTCAATTTGATATGTATGTTTTCATCCACCCAAGAAATAAGATTTTTGATTGATTTGCACATTTCTACAATTTTAACTTATCCGTGTGCTTTAAATAGTCCTACAATACGTTCGATGCATTACTGATAATCAGGACGAATTGGCCGTTTCCGGCACTTTTCGCAAAAGGTGCTTCAACTCTTCGATCCGACTTCACTATTGTTGACATGATAATTGCAGGTGCACATCAATACAAAAACTGTGCTGGAGCATCGAAAGGAAAGAGAAAAACAATAAAAACAATAAGTTTTCAAGCAAAGCCATGCGCTTACTTCCGAATTTTAAAGTATTCCTACAGCCCGCTTGAAGACGGATCGATTTCCGAAAGCAGCATGGCGTACCGGATCAAGTCATTGCTCGCATAAATCAGACTGTTCTGTAAAATCAAAGGAAGCATTTTTCATATGAAAAACCTTTGAAGTAATCAGTCTTGTGAAACGCGTAAATGCTCATGATTTGCTATACTAAACATTATCAATCGTTGAAATTGAGGCGAAGAGGAAAAATTTCTCTGCAGACTTCTTGAAGCACTTAGGTTGGTGCAAAATCAGTGCATGTTTTACTGAGAGTCATTACTCGAAGCTTTCTTGGTTTGCTGGATTTTGTCTATTACTTTAGCTTCCATTCAATACATTTACTCTACTCCAATTACATTAATGGAAGTAGCCATCCTACTTTCCTGTTCATAATTCCACACTGCTCGAAAACGGAGGAAGTGGAAGCGGTAGGTGCTTGGGTCCTATCTCCCATTTTGTTCAATATCTACACCTATGAGCTTCCACGAATTTCTGTTAATTTTGGCGTTAGTTGCTGCGCCTTTGCAGATGATTTTAAATTGTACACGACAGTAACGGAGAGTAGTGATAGCAGGCGTTTGCAGCAAGCGCTGGATGAAGTTTATAAATGGTCACAAGATTGGGGTTTGCCAATCTCCATGGAGAGAACCAAACTCATTCACATTGGACCTTCACATTGTAATCCAAGCTCTGTCTATTTCCTGAATAATTCAGCTCTGCAGGAAGTGGACCGGATCAAGGATTTGGGATTCCTGATAAAAGATAATCTCACATTTGATGAGCATTGCAGGCTTACTGCTGATAAAGCAATGCGGGCGGTCTACAACCTTTTCAGAGCCCTCTCACCTAAGGACGTAAAGGTCCTTTTGAGAGCATACAAGACCTATATCAGACCTATTTTGGAATATGGAACAGTGATATACAACCCGCATCTTCTCAAAACCATAAATTATTTGAAAAGGGTTCAAAACAGTTTTACGCGAAAGCTGTTTATCCGTATTATGGGTTTTGAGTATGATCTCATACCTGATAGTAAGACTCGCAATAGGAAACTGGGTTTAGCATCTCTTGCCCATAGGAGGCGCAGAAGTGACCTTTTGATGGCACATAAAATTTTGTTTGGAAGTTGCGGCCTAGAGTTCAAGGATTTCTTTCCTACCAGACGATCCAATACTAGAGGTGGTTCTAGGAAACTAATAATCCCCAGGGCCAGACTTAGGGTCAGGCGAGGTTTCTTTACATGTCGCGTTATTCATGGTATGGATAGGCTCATAAGAGTTCGATCTTTTCCTGCTAAGCTATCTTTGTTTAAACGCATTTTAAAAGATTATCTGCAGTCCGACAGTGGTAGTTGTTACTAACGCGCAGGTTAGGTAGCTTCTTTTTCTTTACGCTTTTGCACATGCATTCTTTTGTGCTTTGTGTTTTTGTTTGTGTTTTATGGTTCATTCAATCGTTATGTCTGACATGGGATCCATCCCGTGTAATAAATGAAATGAAATGAAAAGTGGAAGCGGTAGGTGCTTGGGATAGGCCTAAGTTTACGTGGATTAATCAGTTGGCGTAGGTACTGATAATAAGCACAGTAACATGCTACATTTGTCGATGTTCTATGCGTGCGATCGAAAACATTTGATAATGTATGACAGATCTTCCCACACTAGATAGACTAAGCTCACCAACCTACTCATCTATCTGAACTCAACCGCTATTTATTCGATGCGTTTTTATAATCAGCAACATGATTATCACGCAGAACATGCAGTGCGGAAACAACAAGGCGCGTTTGTATATTGTCTACATCTTCCGTTATATAGATCATTTCAGTGTGTAGTCGTTATATGGGCACATTACATAGTAAGCGGAAAAGAACGGAGGTACCGAGGGTGGAGAGGGAGGGAGGGGGGATGGTGGGGAAGGTGACAGTGATCACTACGTAAAATTTTCTGTAAAATGTAGCTGTCAAAAACCTAAAATCAAAATAGTTGGAAGAGTGAGGATAAGGTAAAGTCGACTGCACAAAATCGCCCGCGTCGTTGTAGTGAACGCACGCGAGCGGGGGGACGGTCAGGAGGTACGATTGGCGCGAATTTTTCGCCCCCCCCTCACCCCTGTTTTTGTCGCCGGGAATCTCTAATGGCGGAAAGTTTTGAAGGCCTCAAGATTTGAACGCGGCGTGTGCTGAAGACCGGCCGCCGCGCGCGGCGTACCTCCTGACGTGCAGCCACGCGAGCGTACCTGCAACGCAGCTGCCGAGTACTGGCGCTATGATTCTTCATGAGAGCGAATGCCAGAATTAGCCCGCAAGAGACACGCGCGCGGGCGTTCAGCCCGGTCGATTCCGTGCAGTCAACTATAACTTATTCACATTCTTTGCAAAAAGTCGGTGTTCGCTACGCAAGGAAATGAAAGGTTTATGGTTTGCGACATCTTGGACCGTAGTAAGTTCCTCTTCCCCTCCCCCCCCCCCCTCCTTCCGTCAGATCAGAGTTGAATTGAACCCCTAATTTCACATTCGTCGGTTGCAATTATGACCGCCCATCGGACCGCCCATCCTTCTATGCCTTAAAAGGTCATTTTACGAGACACGTAAGGTAAATTATTACTACTGACTATATTCGGACCGAATATTCGTATTAAAATAATTCGGATGAGTAACTCATCCGAATGATTCGACTGTTCCAATATTCAAATAATCGAATGTATAAAAAGCCCAATATTCGGTTATTCGAATAGTCGAA